CTCCATTCAGTTGCGAAGACTCCACCCCACAAGGGGTGATGGGGGTCGTTAAAAGAGGATGATTTAATGGGGTGCGACACTTGACAAAACTGAAGTTTTGATGACCGGCATGTGACTGTAAATCCAGGATTCGGTACCGACTTCGTTCTTTATTTATTGGTCAGCGGGAAAACCCAACCTGGCTCTTTATTTTGAATTATTTCTGTGATCTAATGCCTGTAATTGTATCGGTCTTCTCTTATGTGGCCTCCGGCGTGCTCTGTCCCTCTTTTGTTAACCTGACCTACTTGGCTGGAATAGGGGTAAACCTCTCTATAAACAGGAGCAATTAAGTAAGTAGCCCAGAACACTTACCTAACAGGAGACATGTTCGCTGAAGCAAATACAGGTACGATCATTATTTTTTTGCAGAGCTAAAACCTTCCTTATCCATCGTGGCCTGAATATCGGAGTTTTAGGCCCGCGCTTCCGAGCAGAGACCGACCGAATCTCTGTTTTCCTCTCAATGTCGCAGCCCCGATAATTCTTTCTTTTTTTTTTTACACTTCTCCTCTGCTGAGAAAAATATCACATTTAACAAACATCGTAAAACGAAGTAGAGTGGGGAAATGCAAATGCCATCAGGCAAAAATGATCTTAAGAGGGTATACGAGAAGAAGTGCATGGAACGTGGCCCTTGAGGCTTTCCTATAAATTTACAGAAATGGAATTTTAAAGCCACACGGAACTGAATGGCCGCATAAATAAAAGCCATTTCCCTCCCAGTAGATTTCAGCTTTCACTTTTATTCTTTTCTATTTCCAAATTCAACTGAAATTGAACTGAATTGAGTAGAGTAGATATAGTAAATAGAATAGAATAGGATGAAGAAAATATGCAGAATAGAATAGAATAGAATAGAATAGAATAGAATAGAATAGAATAGTAGAATAGAATAGAATAGAATAGAATACACAATACAATACAATAATATAGAGAACAGAACAGAATAGGACAGGACATACAGACAGGACAGGACAATACAATACAGGACAATAGGACAGGAACAGAATAGGATAGAATAGAATAGAATAGAATAGAATAGAAATACACAATACAATACAATAATATAGAGAACAGGATAGATAGGATAGAATAGAATAGAATAGAATAGAATAGAATAGAATAGAATAAATAGATAGAATAGAAAACACAATACAATACAATAATATAGAGAACAGAATAGAATAGAATAGAATAGAGTGGAGTGGAGTGGAGTGGAGTAGAGTGGAGTGGAGTGGAGTAGAGTAGAGTAGAGTAGAGTAGAGTAGAGTAGAGAACAGTAGAGTAGAGTAGAGGTAGAGTAGAGTAGAGTAGAGTAGAGTAGAGTAGAATAGAGTTGGAAGGGACCTTGGACCTAGTCCAACCCCCTGCTTAGGCAGGAAACCCTACACCACTTCAGACAAATGGTTATCCAACATCTTCTTAAAAGCTTCCAGTGTTGGAGCATTCACAACTTCTGGCGGCAAGCTGGATTAATTGTGCTAACTTTATATATACACTTTGTGTAGGAGACGCAAGCTTGTCAGATGCTACATCTTTTCTATCCTGCTCTACGGAGCGGAGAGTTGGGTCTCTGACAGAAAGCAACTTAAACAGACTAGAAGCATTTGAAATATGGATTTACAGGTGGCTGTTACGTATAAGTTGGGTTGACAAAATCAGAAATGAAGCGGTGATAAGCCGCCTGGGAAAAGCCAAGGGAAATCGTCAAAACCATTAAAAAGCGAAAGTATTTCGGACCTGTGATGTGACACCCAGAAAATTACAGCATCCTTCACTTAATCCTCCAGGAAAAGATTGAACGCAAACGAGGTCCAGGCAGAAGAAGAATATCATGGCTTCAAAACATAAGGGACCGGTTTGGACAAAACAAAAAGGAAGAAGAGGAGGAGGAGGAAGGAGAAGAAGAAAGGAGAAGGAGGAGAAAGAAGAAAGAAGAGGAGGAGGAGGAGCAGAAGAAGGAAAAAGAGAGGGAGGAGGAGAAGGGGAAGAAGGGGATGAGAAGAAGAAAGAAGGAAGAAGAGGAGGAGGAGGGAGAAGACGAAAGGAGAAGGAGGAGAAAGAAAGAAGAAGAGGAGGAGCAGAAGGAGGAAGAAGAGGGAGGAGAAGGAGAAGGGGAAGAAGAGGATGAGAAGAAGAAAGAAGGAAGAAGAGGAAAGGAGAAGACGAAAGGAGAAGGAAGAGAAAGAAGGAAGAAGAGGAGCAGGAGAAGGAAGAAGAGGAAGGAGAAGGAGAAGGGGAAGAAGAGGATGAGAAGAAGGAAGAAGGAAGAAGAGGAGGAAGAAGGAGAAGATGAAAGGAGAAGGAGGGAAGAAAGAAGAAGAAGAGGAGGAGGAGCAGAAGAAGAGAAGAAGAGGGAGAAGAAGGGGAAGGGGAAGAAGAGGATGAGAAGAAGAAAGAAGGAAGAAGATGAGGACGAAGGAGAAGATGAAAGGAGAAGGAGGAGAAAGAAGGAAGAAGAGGAGGGAGCAGAAGAAGGAAGAAGAGGGAGGAGAAGGGGAAGAAGAGGATGAGAAGAAGGAAGAAGGAAGAAGAGGAGGAGGAAGGAGAAGACGAAAGGAGAAGGAGGAGAAAGAAGGAAGAAGAGGGAGGAGAACGAGAAGGGGAAGAAGAGGAGGAGAAGAAGAAAGAAGGAAGAAGAGGAGGAGGGAGAAGACGAAAGGAGAAGGAGGAGAAAGAAGGAAGAGGAGGAGGAGGAGCAGCAGAAGAAGGAAGAAGAGGGAGGAGAAGGGGAAGAAGAGGATGAGAAGGAAGGAGAAGGAGAAGGAGAAGAAGAACTCACAACGTCTGAAGGACAACCACAATCTTTACTTTTACAACCACAAAGCAAAGCCAGGCGAGGCTCAGAAAAACCACCAAGGAAGGTTAATTTTTCAGCTGCTGCCAAGAACCGCACAGGGAGTTCTGAACCCTTGCTTAACCTGGGAGGAACCGACTGAGGGGCGGGAAAAAAACCCACCTTCTCAAACCAGCGTGAATCCTCAGAGGAGGAGGAGGAGGAGGGCCCTGCTCCAAAGGCGTGTTCTTCACAAGTCCGGGAGATTGTACTCGACCTCTACGTGTGTGGCTGTCTATCTCCGTAAAGTCCGCCGGAGGATTTGAAGAGGGACGAGAATAGCAACCTTCCCTTAAGTAGCTTGCAGACTTTAAGCACTTTGACTCTTTTTACCTGGGAGATGAAGAATTAGGCCTCCAGTTCTCCGCTTTATCCTTGCTTTATTCCCTCTCCGAATCAACTCAATATTATGGGGGACGCGGACCTTTAGATAACTTCTGCTCCAGAAGGATTTCATATTCAGTAACACTGATCATATTACCTAGTTGGGTAATAAAACGTTGGAACAGGAAATAACTAAGATTTGTAAATCCGAAATGTGATGGTATATATGTAAATTACTTTTACTAGTAAAGTAAAAGTATGTAAATATAACTGAGTACGTTGGGCAGAATAATTAATAATAATAACTTTATTGTCATTGTACGTGTATACAGAGTATACCCATACAACGAAATTCACGTAACACCCAAAGACCAGGTCCAACACACATAACAATCCCCAAACACTCCCACCCACCACAAATTCTCCACCCCTAAATTACCCAAACATCCACACAACAGACCAAGTAATACTTCCAACAGCTCACTGACGGTGGCCCTTTAGTTCATTGTTGAGTGCAATTATAGCTCTGGGATTAAAAACTATTCAGAAAACGTGTGGTCCGAGTTTGAATTATTCCGTATCTTCTGCCAGAAGGCAACAGTCCAAAAAGATTGTAAGCAGGATGGGAAGAGTCTCTTGAGAATGTTGTGCAACTTTCTCCAACAGCGAGATGCGAAGATGTCGTCCAGGGCTGGTAGCTGGAGCCCTGATGATATTCTGGGCAGTTTTAATGACTACTTATATATATATATAATTAGTAATGTTTGAAGAGTATATATGATATTTGCTTTATATTTTAGTGTGTACGGCAGAGATGACGCCAGGATGGCCGCGCTGTGTCCAATATTTTAATAAGAAATGAATAAATAAATTTTTAAAGGAATTGGCTGGTAAGAACGTCCTTCTTTGTCTCTCCTTTTTTTAAAGAAAATTTGGGTCGAAACCCACAGCACCGTTGCCTTCTCAGCCGGGCGGGGATTTTCGTCGGATAGAGAGGCAGCCCACTCCAGGAAAAAAAAAAACAGCAAAATAAATTCCAAGCCAAACCCTCTCGTTCGGTCTCACTTTCCTACAGCTGCTGCGCCTCTCATGTGCCCAGAAGCACAAACACACACACACACAACCTTTAAATCTCTCAACTGGATAAAACAGAAGCAAGCTGTGGCTTTTGGGATTAACCGGATTTAAACTGCAGGAGAACATGAATTACTGGCCCTGAGCTCGGGATACCTTTTCTTCTCTTCCCGTCCTCTTCCTCAGGGACGGAGGGGGAGGAAGGGGAGGAGGGGGTCCTGCTGGGAATTTGCTGAGTCGGCACTTCTACAACAGCCCACTCTTTTGAAAAAGTAAAAGCAAGGAAGAAGGCTTGGCTTGATTCCAAAATATGTGAAAGACGAGGGAATCCAAGATGGATCGCAAGCGATGCACATCTCCATCCAGGGCCACCACCGTGCCAGGGCCGAAGGGCTTCCTTCTGCTCTGCCCATCCGAGCTTCTTTGCAAACAGGCATCGGAAGAAACTCACCGGGATTTCGAGCGGTCCCCTTCCCCAGATGTGGCGGGGATGGGCTCCCCCCAGCACTAGCTAGCTCTACCGAAGAGAGACAGCTGCTACGTACGAGGAGAGCATCTAATACTCCCCGGATAAGGCAGGGAAAATAATGGGACGGCAAGAATCACCGAGTTGCCCAAACTCACCTTTCTCCAACCGCGGATAATTCTCGTGGGAGAGAACGGAGATGAGACCCCGCAAGCAAAGAAAAAGGAATTATTATTATTATTATTTTATACATATATAATTTTGTCGCTTTTTTTAATTTCTCAAAGCGCTTCGGAGCCCACACCAGCAGCTCGGATGAATCAAACCTTGGAAAACTCCAGGTTTGCCTTGTAGCCTTGGAAGAAGGACAGAAGGAGGAATGATCTCCCGAGCGAAAACCGGCTTTATAACAGTAGCAAGAGTTGGAAGGGACCTTGGAGGTCATCTAGTCTGACCCCCTGCTCGCGCAGGAGACTTGGGCTAGGGATTCGAACTACCGACCTTTCTGATCGACAAGCTCAGTGTCTTTAGCCACTGAGCCACTTTTTCTAAAAAAAATAAAAATACAAGAGTTTCAGTCGGACAAAGGGCCCAGGTATGTTTCGCCACTGAAGATTTCATCCCGTCTCCGAGCTTGGGACCGAAGGCAAAAGCGGCCGCCTCGCTTTACGACATGGATCTTACCCACTCTTCTTTGTTCCAAAGCAAGTTTTCGGTCGCCCGCCTGGCGGAGGCGTTTTTCTGGGTCGGCGGGAGCGTCGCAGCAGCGCCCAAGTGGAAGATGGGCCGAATTGGTAAGAGCAGCGACGTGAGCCCCCGAGTCCCTTCCCTTTAGGACTCCAGCCTTGGCAACTTTACAACCTGCGGAACTTCAACTCCCAGAATTCCTCTGTGGGATTGTGGGAGTTGAAGTCCACAAAAGTTGGAGACCCCTGCTGCAAGATTGATCTTCTCAGACAGGGGTCTGCAACCTTAAACACTCAAAGAGCCATTTGGACCCATTTCCCACAGAAAAGAAAACACCGGGAGCCACAAAAACCCTTCCAGTGCCTGACTATTTCCTGAGAGGCTAAAAAACTAACATATGTAGTTGAATTAAATGTTCTGTTTTCTTTGGAAACTTTTATTTTCTTGGATTTATCCATGGTTGGCCTACCGGGAGTTGAACAGCTCAATAAATCGCGTGCCGGTGGGTGTCGCACATTGGCGGTTGTGACGCATATTTTGAGTGACGGAGCCGCAGCAGAGGGGCGAAAGAGCCACATGCGGCTCCAGAGCCGCAGGTTGCTGACCCCTGTTCTAATATAAAATATAGTGACGGGTTGGCCTATTGACATTTGCAGAGGGGCTGTGCAAAGGACCGTGTTTTCCCGCAGCTAATCTTCCACGATCACCGGTGGAACTCCCTGTCACAAGAAAGGAGTAGCAGCGACCAATTAGGATGGCTTTGAAGGGGGATGAAATGTATGGAAGTCGAGGCTGATTGTCCCTACAGTGCATATTTTTTTTACAATCTTGGCTATTTGTGTTTTCTTAATGAAGCAATTAAGATTCTGTCCATCTGAACATACCACTATATATCAAGCGTTGACGTATCGTTAGCAAGAAGAGAATTCCCTGAACTGTTTTAATACAGCTTTACTGGCAATCTAGCTATAATTTATTTCAACTTGGCCAGACACACTCTGTTCATTTCATTCTTAGATTGCTTTTGCTTTTCTTTTCTTTTTTTTGGAAAGATTTGGCTTGGTTTGAGAACTTTGGTGAGTGAAACGACATTCTTATTTCCCGTCTGTCTTGATCCTAAATATCTGTTCAGTTTTTAAGTTCCAGAAGTAAAAAAAAAAAAAAAAAAAAATGCTATCTTTTATTTATTTTTATTTTTTTTAGGATTTCATATCATCTGTAATTTGATTAAGGAGAAAAACTTAATTTAATTTTCCAAGTTTGTTTAAAAGATTGCTGATTAAAATTTAAACTTGCCTGACCAGACAGAATGAGGCTGGACTCACGTCAGCGTTAGCCCTGAATCCGTGCAAACCTTTTCTCGCTCCTTCTTCATTTTAATTGTCTTGTTAAAATGTAATTCTCATTACTAGGGCATCTCCTTTTTTTTTATAGTCGATGTTTTGACTTTTCCGCGGTATTTGCTCGGAGCATTTTAAACGGAATGGCTTTTTTTAAATAATTAGGGTTATGGTTCTATTTTAAATGTTATTGGTTATTTTAAATGCCATGGCTGCCCTAAAACTGTCTCTCTGCCTTGTTCCTTAAATGCAGAGGTTAATGCTTGCCCTGGAATACTTTTATAAGGTAATATTTTGTCACTTCTTTGGAATGGTGGCTTAGGGGTCTTTTCAATAAAGACACCGACACACGGCGAGCAGATGGTGATAAGATTAAGTAGCAGATCAGTTTGCTGCCTTGGGGGTAAAATGAGAACCCAGATTGTTAGGGGGCAATACGCTATTTAGTATACTGTCTTTGGTGTAAGCCGCCCAGAGTCCTTGGAGAGTGGGCGGCATAGAAATATGACTAATAAATAAAATAAATAAACACTTGCGTTAGAATAATCCTCTGATTCTCCAAGGAGGACATCGTCATCGTCAGAGTTGGAAGGGAACTTGGAGGTCATCTAGTCCAACCTAGATGCTCTAGCAGGAAACCCTATTCCATTTCAAAGAAATGGTTTGTCCAATCTCTCCTTAAAAAACCTCCGGTAGTGGAGCTGCTACAGCTTCCTGTGGCAAGACGTTCCACTGGTTCATCATTCTCACCGCCAGGAAATTCCTCCTTAGTTCTAGGTTGCTTCTCTCCTTGATGAGTTTCCATCTGTTGCTTCCTGTCTTGCCTTTTCGTGCTTTGGAGAATAGCCTGAACCTCTCTTCTTTCTGAAATACTGGAATATTGATATTATGTCACCCCCTATTCCTTCTTTTCACTAGACTAGACATACCCAGTTCCTACAACCTCCGCCGTGTTAGCAGTCACTGCAAACTGCCAGCTCGGATAGTTTCCCAGATCTGTTTGTGGGGCCTGAGTTGCGCTTTTGCAGAAACTCCAACCTCAGTAGAAGTCTTATCACTGAATGCCACTTGCCGGGAACCTCTCTATGTCAATTCGCAAAGCATCCCTGCCATGCTCTCGAGTTGCCATAGGCAAGAGGGATGGGAAACCGATGAAACAGCACGGCAGCCAAAGACAGATGCACATTCCAGACTTATCTCTCTCAAGGCTGTCTCCCAGGGTTACCCACAGCGACCTGAGGGGAGTGATCTCTACAACCCGTGAAATTGCTCTGTTGGAGAATGTAATTGATGACACACCCTGGGGAGAAACAGGGTCATGATTGGGGCATAAATTATGTGGGGTCAGAGCTGGCTTCACTTGGGAACGTGCCGACATGAAGCTCCTAATAAATAACTGGATTTCTTTTGAAGCTTGGTTCGAGGCTCACGATTTAATTAGGGCATCCGTCGAAACCCTGGCACTCTTATTTGATCCAATCCAGCACTCTGAAATCCTTACGCTTCCTCAACCTGGTTCTTGAAACCGAAAAGTACTTGTGGATGGTACTACCGGGTCACCGTTCGAGTCCAGATGTCTCAGGAACATCCGAATCCTTCAACCCTTCAGGAGCTGGTCACGTTTCCTTGGACACGGAGTCCCGGAAGACGATCAGATACAAGCGTTTTTTGTTCCCCTGCTTGGCTTCAGAGGTTTTCTGGGAGACATGCCTTGGTGCCACCAGGCTCCCTCGTCAGAAACAAAGGCCATCTGTCAATCCTTTTTTTCATCTTTCAGCGCTCCCAAATATTAAAACCCGGGAGGGGGTTAGTCTATCCAGAGGTGAATGCCTGCAAATCGCATTAATATCCCAATCAGAATTGGGGTGTGTGTGTCTGTTTGAATACCCCTCCCCTCAACCTCAGGACAATTTAAGGAATGTATGCACACGCGACGTCCATTCCCGAAGCCGAAAATTTCAATTAAACCTTCACTTCGTTGGATTCGACTTGAGAAATGATGGATAATTTTTAATCTCCTATTTTTGGGGAAGAGCTCGGGTTTCCAGGCATTCGAACCGTAGAGGTAGATCCGTAATTTGGGAAAGGGGGTTAAAAATATGTTGATTGAACCTCTTCCCAAACGAAATACGGTTATTTAAAAACATCCAGGCGTTGAAATACTGCGGCCGAACCCTCCCACATCTGTCGCTTTGCCGCCGCTTCATATCGTGCGAGACGACCTGCGTACTTCCCCTGTCAGATCAGAAGAGAAATAAAACAAAATCAAAAGAACAGCGCTGTCGCTTTTTTTTTGCCACGGTGCACGTCAATATTTTGTTGTTATTCCTATTTTAAACGCGTGATTTGCCCTTCTCGACCCAAAGATCAATTTGATTTATCCTAGAGTTTCGGAGCCGCTGGCCGTTTTTTTCAGCAAAAACCACAAAAAGGGGAATCTTTTTGAAAGGGCCTTTTCTTTCTTGAGGGGTTTATCAGCCCTGGAAGTAAAGACTTATTAAAAGGGTTTTAATTAAAACCTTAAATGAAATTAAAGGTTGCCATTTATCCGGCTTGGGCAAGGGGCTGGACTAGAAGACCTCCGAGGTCCCTTCCGGCCCAATATCTCTATGATTCCATACAGAGAATCCATGCAGAAGTTCTGCCTTGTCTGAATATGTCTGGATCCCAGTTGGGATCCAGTTCAACATTCTTGAGGTTGGGAACGTTTAACGTCTTCCTTCCACGCCAAAAAAGACAGTTTGTTGTCCATCAGTCCGTCCGTCCGTCCCCTTGTGCCTTTGTGAGTTCTTAAATCGCAAAGCTTTCAAAATTCGCCATCATCTCCCTTGGCCCAGGTTGGGTCGGAGTGGCCCCTTCATCCTTGCTCTTTTTCCCATTCTTGAATTTTGGGAGGGTTGTCAGAATGAGCTGAACCCCCCCCCATGGACATCCAAGAAATAGACATTGACGGAGATTTAAGAGAGGAATTTGGGAGGCAAGTCAAAAAAACCCTAACAGTGTTCTGGTGTGCACTGCTCTACAGCGTCGTTTTGAGGGTAGGAGTTGATTCAGTTGATGTCCAGGATGCGAGAGGTCTGCAAATATTTTCCCAGCCCTCTTTTTGACTCGTGCAGTAGGCAGGTCCTCCATGGAAGGCAGGTTGGCAGCCATGGTTTTTTTCTGCAGTTCTAATGATCCTCCCAAGTCTGTCTGTCCTGTTGGGTTGCAGAACCAAACCAGACAGTTATGGAGGTGCAGATGACAGACTCAATCACTCCTCTGTAGAACTGGATCAGTAGCTCCTTGGGCAGTTTGAGTTTTCAGAGTCGGCGTAGAAAGAACATTCTTTGTTGTGGGTTTTTTGATGTTAGGTGTCCATTTTCAGTCTTGAGATATGATAGAACCTAGAGACTTGAAGGACTCTACTGTTGATATTGTGTTGTCTAGTATTGTAAGAGGTGTATTGTAAAGAGAACGAAAGATGTTGGCCATGGTTAAAAATATTTTGGTCATTGACCAGGCTAAAGTAAGATAGCAGATAAAATTAATTAGATTAACTAGATAAAAGAAGGCAAATATTCTATTCTATTCTATTCTATTCTATTCTATTCTATTCTATTCTATTCTATTCTATTCCATTCCATTCCATTCCATTCCATTCCATTCCATTCCACTCCACTCCACTCCACTCCACTCCCCCCTATTTCTATTTCTATTTCTATTTCTACTCTTATTCTATTTCTATTCTATTCTCTATTCTATTCTCTCTTCTCTTCTCTACCCTACTCTACCCTACTCTACTGTATTCTTCATTTCTCTTCTCTTCTCTTCTCTTCTCTTCTCTTCTCTTCTCTTCTCTTCTCCTTCTCTTCTCCTTCTCTTCTTCTCTTCTCTTCTCTTCTCTTCTCTTCTCCTTCTCTTCTTCTCTTCTTCTCTTCTCTTCTCTTCTCTTCTCAGAATAAGGCAAATAATGTTAAATAAAAACGCAGTCAAACTGTTCCTGACAAGATACGCCTCGATCTCGCCAGCTATCGAACAGAATTCGGTGGCGTTACAAGAGAGCTCATCGCTCAGATCAACTAAGGCAGTAACTAAGGGAAAGAGTCAATGCAAACCGAAACTTAAGGTAATAAAGAGTAATTAGATTGTGTTGCAATTTGTGGTTAAGATTGACAAAAGAGGCGTTTGTGGGCAAGGCTCTAACACTTATCACTGTGAGGTAATGGAGGGTAGATATCAGGCCGCGTCTGGAGTAAATCCATCCGATAAGCAGATTTTACCCAATTTGCAAATCCTGCATCTTTTCACTCCCTGGAAAGCGGTTTATATATTGATTTTCACCACCAGTCCGTGTTTCGAGACGCAGCTCGCCTCTAAAATAAACGCCTTACAAAACTATACGCTGGGATTTGCAGCTGGGAATGCATTTTCTTAAACCTATAGCTTGATTTTCCCATTAAAAACTTTTGTTGCCTTAACCTCTGTAAATCGAGCGTGCGGCACGATTGACGCGATCTTTAGCATAACAAATATATATAGATTTTTTCTCTCTCTCTCTCTTTCTTTTCCCCTCCATAGTGGAAAAATGTATGAATTCCATGCAAGACGGCACTCAGATGATCAAACTCAGGGGCAGCTCCAAAGGTCTCGTCCGTTTCTATTACCTGGATGAACACAAGTCGTGCATTCGCTGGAGGCCCTCGCGAAAAAATGAAAAGGCGAAAAGTAAGTGAAGCGTTTCAAGGCGATCCGTCTTTGATTACGGTCACAGATCAGAATTTTGTGACATGTCTAGTCCAGTGTTCTGTGTCATACTGTATGTCAACTCGCAAAGTATCCCTGGCCTGCTCTCGAGTTGCCATAGGCCAGGGTTCGCATCAAGGCAACCTGAGAGATCGAAGGGGGAAGAGGGAATGGAGCTGTCGGAGAGAGAGAGACAGAGACAGAGCCTGGGCCGTCCGTCAGCCCTCAGATGGAGAGTCAACAGCCCCCAAGTCTGGAGGTGGCTGATGAGGAAGAGGAGGAACAGCTGGGTCCTGTGCCTGACGAGCCGATGCTCAGAAGGCAGAGGAGAGGAGAGCAGTGGAAATCTATGGGCCGGTCTTTGGGACGGAAGAGCCGCCGCTGCTAGCGAAGCCCCTCCCTAGCTCTGGGGATAAAAGGCAGGGGGCGGAGATGAATAGATGTGCATAGATTCATTTCCTCTCATGCTGACCCTCCCCTTATCCCCCCTCCCCCGTTGAGTATGGCAGGCTGACAGCAGGCAATGCCATGGCAGTCCTGACAGCTGTTTTCTGTCTTCCTTCTGCACCTCCTAACCTCACCTCACTGGCATCAGCCACTCCCGTTGTTCAAAGGCCAAGCACTGTATTCTAATTCTTCCATTTCCTCCCCCCTTCTCCCCCCCCTTCCCCCGGCTGCAGTCTCCATAGATTCCATCCAGGAAGTGTGCGAAGGGAAGCAGTCGGAGATCTTCCAGCGCTACAGCGACGGCAGCTTCGATCCCAACTGCTGCTTCACCATCTACTATGGGGACCACATGGAATCCCTCGACCTGGTGTCCTCGAACGGAGAGGAAGCGCGGATGTGGATCACCGGCCTCAAGTACCTGATGGCGGGGATAAGCGATGAAGACAGCCTGTCCAAACGGCAGAGGACGAGGGACCAGTATCCTTTTGGGAGGGGGGGGGGGATGGGATCCAAAGTTTGTAGGCTAATGAAGAGACTGGGCAAACATTTTGTCTGAAATGGCATTGGGTTTCCTGCCTAAACTGGGGGGGGTTGGACTAGAAGACCTCTAAGGTCCCTTCCAATTCTGTTATTCTGCTCCGTTCCGTTCCATTCTACTCTTCTTTCTTCTCTTTTCCTCCTCCTCCTCCTCGAATAACAGTTACAGTATAAAGAGGAAAAGTGAAACACGTAGAAAAAAACGAGATAGACAAAAATGATCACCATGGAAAAAACGAGATATACAGAAATGATCACCATGTCAGTTAATACTGAACTGGGTAACCTTTAGCATGAATGATGGCCTTACAATGTCTTCCCATGGAGCGAACCAAGCCTTTGAGTTCTGCAGCTGTTCTGATGTGAAACCAAGATGGAAGGATGGCTTCTATTAACTGGGTTTTATTGCTCGGTCGCTTCTGACTAACCAGTTTCTTCTTTAGTAGACCTGGAGAAAAATCGTTAACAGAGAATTGCAGTTTAAAAAAAAGATGGGGAAGGAATCGGGGCGCCCTGCCATTCCCAACAGAAGTTGGCACGACGAATCAATCCGATGGCTCTCCAGGAAGGAGAGTTGATTTTTCGGCTTCTTCTGAGCCTCCCTCCTTCTTCCCGAAACGTCCTATCCCTTTCCTTAACTCCGGCTAAATGTGGTTGAAGCAAACCTTCGACGAAGCAGATAAAAACGGCGACGGCAGCCTGAGCATCAACGAGGTCCTTCAACTGATGCACAAGCTAAACGTCAATCTCCCCCGTCAGAAAGTCAAGCAGATGTTCAAGGTAAGGCTCCATCGTGCCGTACCGCTGTGTCTAATGAGGCAGGTGACGGTTACTCAGAGGGCCAGCTGGCTGGCCTGGGGAGCAGTTGCTGATGTAACTCTGTCCATCTTTCCCTCGGGCTTACCACCAAACATCTGTTCTGCCCCAGCTATGGACCCCAAAGAACGCAGCACACACAAAGTCTGTACGAAACTTAATTTACTAAAATAACTCAGTCTTTTTCTTTTCTTTTCTTTTTATTGCAAAAGTTTTACAATTACATTTTCACCCCTTTTCCCCCCCCACCTCCCCCCCCAGACTTCCCAACCTCCCTAACCCTCCCTAACCCTCCCCTCCCCCCAGACTTCCCTATAATATACTCATACTCATAAAAAACCCTTAATATAACACTTATATATAAACTTGAACCCCTCCCTCCCCTGTATAATTTTTCTCTTTACCTCATTACATTAAAATATTTCCAATACATTATTTTCAAATAAAAGCTATTTGATACTTTCTAGTTTGATATTTGTTCTGAACATATTCTATCCACCTTTTCCATTCCCATTCATAAGTCTCTTGTGAATAATCTTTTAAATATGCTGAAATCTTCGCCATCTCTGCAAAACTGGCCATCTTCAAAGTCCATTCCTCGATAGTGGGCAAAGCTTCATTCTTCCAATATTTACCTATCAACAATCTTGCTGCTGTTATCATATACAATATCAATTTTGTTTCACCCGATGTAAAACCCTTAACTATACCCAATAAAAACAATTGTGGAGAGAATTGAATTTTTTTCTTCAAAACATTCTGCATGACCCACCAAATTTTTATCCAAAAAGCCTTAACTCAGTCTTTTTCAAACAAAGGCAAACGATTTGCCCCCGGAGATACGAAGGATACCAGATCTCCGGGCCTTTCGCCGTGCCCTAAAAACTTTTCTTTTCCATCAAGCAGAGCTGGCGTGAATACCCCCCCCCTTTTTTTAGCGCTTTTTAGCTTTTTAAGTGTAAATTGGGTTTTAATTGGATTGTTTTAAATTGTGGGCCAAAGCTGTATAATTCTTTTAATTGATTTTATATTTTGTATTGGTATGTTTTTTATTCTTGGCTGTGCACCGCCCTGAGTCCAATAGGAGAAGGGCGGTATATAAATTGAATAAATAATAATAATAATAATAATAACAACAACAACAACAACAACAATAATAATAATAATAATAATAATAATAATAATAATAATAACTCTGCCCTGCTTCCTTTGATTTCTGGCAGTTCGGTTGCTAGGGCTGATTGAAAACGCAAATTCCGAAAATATCAATATTGCCCTTGTGGTTTTCTGATAGGAAATTCAGATTAAATTCAGGTCTTCCCCTGAGACAATAGGAGACAATAGACCATGTCAATCAATCAATCAATCAATCAGAATAGAGCTGGAAGGGACCTTGGAGGTCTTCTAGTCCAACCCCCTACTCAGGCAGGAGACCCTACCTACCTCGACCATTTCTACGGTTGGGCTATACTTTACTTTACTTTTATTTGATTTATATACCGCCCTACTCCCGAAGGACTCAGGGCGGTGAACAGCCAACAATAAAATCCATACCTACAAAATTTAAAAAGCAGAATGAAAATCAAATTAAATAGTTTTGGCCCAGACAAATTTAAAACCCCAATCAATTTGAAACCAATTTTAAAGTTTGAATATATAAAATACTAAAAAATATTAAAAATTAAAACTTCTTTTATAAAAGAGGGAGAAGGTTTAGGCCAGGCCAGCTTGATGGAATAGGAAAGTCTTAAGCGCGCGACGGAAGGTGGGCAGATCCGGGATCCTCCGTATCTCCGGGGGGAGCTCGTTCCAGGTCGTAGGTGCCCCCACAGAGAAGGCTCTCCCCCTGGGGGCCGCCAGTCAGCATTGTTTGGCCGATGGCACCCGGAGGAGCCCCTCTCTATGGGAGCGTACTGGCCGGTGGGAGGCTATTGGTGGTAGTAGGCGGTCCCGCAAGTACTTACTTACGTTCTCAAACTGAACGGGCCCGTGTGCTCTCTGCCAATCTGTCCGTCAACCTCTACATTCCCCTCTTAAATCTATTATTTAAAATCGCGAGGGCTTACAGTAAAAATCTCTCTTCATTTTTTTACATTTCTCGCACGGGTCATCGATGCAACACTGGGGAAAGAAAAAAAATCCTCCTTAAAATCTCTTTGAATTGCTCCCAAATCAATCCGGCTCATATTTAAGCTGGAGGCAGTAATGTCAAAAAAAAAAAAACCCAAAAAACTCAGAAGCAATTTCTGTGAAACTCGGCAAGAGAGAACTTATATCTATTGTTAGCGTTCTTTTTTTTTTAATAAGCTTTTCTCCCTTTTTCAAAAAAAAAAAATCTTCCTTTTTTTTCCCTCTCTCTCTTTCTCTCTTTGCCTCGATTAGCTTCCCCCTGCAAAATGCCCGCCATAAAGAGATAGCAACACCACGGAAAAGTTAGATATCACACTCTTTAAATGTTGGAAGATTAAGAAAAGAAATCCTTCCACCCGTAGAGAAAAGCAGCGTGCGTTTGCACGCTTGAAAAAAAGAGAGAACTAAATGGGAAATAGATGCACCGATTATTACTAAAGATGTTACTAGTTTCCAATTAACACCGTTCATTTGTCAAAGCGAGTTTTTAAATGCCTGGCAAGGAAATTTCATGCTTCCCCCCCCCCTCCCCTCCCTGTAAAACCTAATTTACAGGAACCTCTTGATTTTCCTGAGGTTTATTAAATTGAGGTCTCATTCCTGGGTTTTGAAAGGAAAAAAAATAAAATAACTGTTTTGCTTCTTTAATCCATGCAGTTATATCTTCACACATCAACACTTGGCTGCCAACGCAATCCTCATTGTTATTGGCTGCTATCTGGGAAAAACCCAACCTGGATTTACGGGTGATTGGCAGGCAGGATGCCAATTTGGGCAATCGATGGAATGGATCGAAATTTCCCGTTTCCCATCACCGGCTGAAACGCTCCCACCCGAGTCCTAATAGCTCCCCGTCCATAGGACGGAGAATGCATTCCCAGGGGCAGGAAAGAGATGGCGGCATCCCGGGATGTCCTCAGCGGGATCGGCCATCTCAGTCGTGGAAAACCGTGTTTGATACAAGTGGAATGTAGTAGAGACAGGGCAGGTGTGAAAAAAATAAATAAATCCAGTTTTGGGTGTCCGTTGTGCGCGCGCACGTCTGTCTCGGCAAATTTTTTTTTTGTAATGATCCTAGTCTAACTGGCTTGATTTCCTTCCTTCTTCCTTCCCTCGCTCCCCTCTCCCTCTCTTCCTTCCTTCCGCCTCCCTCCCTCCTTTCTCCCTTCTTCTTCCCTTCCTCCTTCTCTTCCTTCTGCCTCCCACCTCCCTTCCTCCGTCTTCCCTTCTTACTGTCTCCCTTCCTCTTCCCTCCCTCTTCCTTCTGCCTCCCTCTTCCTTTCCTTCTTCCTTCCTCCTTCCTTCCTCCCTTTCCTTCTTCCTCCCTCCCTCCTCCCTCTTCCCTTCCTCCCTTCCTTCTTCCCTCCCTTCCTCTTCCCTTCTTTCCTCTCTCCCTCCCTCCTTCCTTCCTCCATCTTTCCTTTTTTCTGTCTCCCTCTCTTCCCTTCCTTCTTCCTCTCTCCTTCCTTTCTTCCTCCCTCCCTCTCTCCTTCCTCCCTTCCTCCCTCTTCCCTTCCTTCTTCCTCTCTCCTTCCTTCCTCCCTCTCTCCTCCCTCCCTCCCCCTTCCCTTCCTTCCTCCCTCCCTCTTCCTCCCTCCCTTCCTTCTTTCCTCCCTCCCTCCTTCCTTCCTCCCTCTTCCCTTTTTTCTCTCTCCCTTCCTCCCTCTTCCCTTCCTTCCTTTCTTCCTCCCTTCCTCTTCGCTTCCTTCCTTCCTTCCCTCCTTCCTCCCTTCCTTCCTCCCTCTTCCCTTCCTTCCTTCGGGTCGCAGAACCTTCTGCTACCAGGCAGAAAAGCATCTTAAGGCAGAGCCTCCGCCGGGGCAAGCCCAACCGCGACCTGCTTTGCCCCGTTTCCAAACGAGCTGGCCGCTTTTTGGCTGCGCCTGGCGTCCAGATGCGTGACTCCGCAAGCATCCAAGCGGCTTTTATTCTGCAGAGGGGAGAAGGTGGAAAAAAAATGGCCGTTGGAACCTGGGCACCATTATTCGGTGTGCGTTGAACGAGGCTAATCGGGTTACTGAAAGCGGAGGGAGCTCCAGCGTATCCTGGCCTATTGCTGGCTATTGCTCCAGCCTATTGCTGGAGTTCATTAGCTGGCGGTCGGCAGATGGTTGCGGCACGCGAGGGTCTCGCGACGGCAGTCTCGGAAACGAAATCGGATGTTTTGCAAATTAGGGAGTCAACGATCCGTTGGAAGAAAAAGAACACTTGGAGATTGGGGGTGGGGAAATCCCTCCCAAAATCAGTGGTTGTGATGGGATGCGGTGAAATCTGTTAATGCCGACTGCTTTGCTCCATGGTTGTTATGTGTACTGGATTCCCAATCTCTTTATTCCTAGAAGTTGCAGGTGTTTCATCACTGGAGGTCTCCTGCTTGAGCAGGGGGTTGGACTAGAAGACCTCCAAGGACCCTTCCAGCTCTATT